TCATACACAAATAAGTATTTTAATATTACATTGAGTTACAATTCTCATGAAGTTTATGCAAAAAAATTAATATTTTAATATTGAGTTACTAATTCTATTTATAACTTTATAAAAAACGATCATCTTTCATGTCATTCTCTAATCATCATCGCACTTATTTTGTAAAAAACGAAAGGTTGAGATTTATTTTGTTAATAAAAAGTAAAAAATATGTAGACTTAATTTAAAATTAAATACATGCAGATAGAAGTCATTTTTATTTTTATTAAATATTTAATTTATATTTATAAATTATATTTTTTTCATCTTCGTACATGTTAGCATTAATTATTCAAAATTAGTTTATTTGTGCAATAGTAATCATGACTTTATTTTCTTTTTTCAACTATGAAAATTATGTTATCACATATAGAGTTTTATGAAATTTTTTGAAAAAGTGTCATTAATGTGACCAATAATTTTTTTCACGGTATATCAAATATTTTTGTAAGCTTAAAAATTTAATTTTAAAAATTTAGAAAAAAAATTATATGGATTTTATATTTTTTTTTTGTTAATTGTTATTGTTTCTAGAGTCACGATTCATGTTGTCTAATTATTGTTATTACTATGGTTATAAGGAACACAATTCATAATATTAATGTTGTATTTGTGGAAGTATTTTTAAATGGATTAATAAAAAAATTATTTACATTATCTCAATAAATTTTTTAAAAAATATTTTTTCTATTAAATTGTCATTCATTCACATCATTTTTAATATTAAGCCGCGCAACGCGCGGGTGGCGTACTAGTCTATATATATATTAAACTGAAGCAGCTGGAATTTTCCCTCCAAAACTATATTAATTACTAGAAATAAATATTACCAACTTTTATGTAAAATTTTCATCAAAAACTACATTTACTACATTGAAATAAATTTTTATCAATTTCTATGCATGATTTATCAATAAAAAAATATTTGTTAGATATGAATAATTAATTTGTTTTCATAATTGTATTGGAATTTGCACTCCAATTTCTCTTGGCTAAATAAATGCTTCAACTACTTATGACTATGAAATAAATTTTGTTAATTTCTGTGTATTATTTATCATTCAAATAATATCATAATTATTTGTTACAAATAAATACTTATTTTAGTCATAATCAATAATTGTACAAATTTTCGTTAAATATTTTTATGCTTTGTGAGTGACATAATTATTTGTTACAAATAATATTTAATACTATACATAATTATTTATTATGAATTCTCATTCCAATATCCCACTTATTATTTGTTTCTCTTCCCATTTGTGAGTATGAGTTCCTTTCCTTATATATTATATTTTTTTCTTATAAAAATAAATTATCAATCTCATTTAATTAATCATTAAAATAATATTTAAAGTAATTTTTTTATTTAAAATCATTTTTTATCTATTTTTATTTATTTTGGAACATCAAACACAATATTAATCTTTTTGGTTATATTCGAAATATTTCAAGGTAAAATAGAAAAAATCATAACTAATACAATATCTGCATGTAATATAATAAATAAATATTTTTATAACTTTTAATTTGGTATCTATATTGCATATATATAGCTAAACTTTTAGATTCGATATGTCAATTTAAAATTCAATATCGTTTATTTTAACATACACACGTTCAATGTTTATATATAAATATCTAATAGTAGCACCATGTCACGTTTGACACATATACTCTAATATGATGAAATTTACGTACACGTTAATAAAATATGTAATCATCTCTTATTAATCTAATATTATATTATTTTATATCTCTATCTAATTCTAAAAAATTACAAGTAACCATTAAATTATTTGTATTGAGCACCTCATTCCTAAACAATATATTTTAATATAAATTATAGAAAGTCTAATCATTCACAAACTCTTATATGAGCTGGAGTAAGGTTTAGTCAAGTCAACGTGTCATTCTTTTTTAACAAAAATGCGATCTTAGACTTCTAAATTTCATACTTTTGGTTATTTTATTTCATAATATATTTTTTTATTTAATATTGACAATGATCATCTTAATTATTTTCTTAATATAATATTATGAAAATAAAAATTACAACTTTAAAGTATATAATAAAAAGTAATTCAATATGTATAAACATAAATTTTTTTTTGTACAATGAGGTGAACATTTATTTTCATAGTTTGTGTACAACATAAAAATAATTGATTAGTATAGACATAAATTTGTATTTTGTACAATGAGGTGAACATTTATTTTCATAGTTTGTATACAACATAAAAGTAATTGATTTATTAGTGTTTGGACATAGCATCTAATTTAGTTTCATTTATGGGTAAGCAATATAAGAATATTATGAAATGAAAAATTTTAGAAAATGATGACAGAAAGAGTGAGAATTTCAACAACAACAAGAGAGATAAAAAGTGATATTGTAGTTTTGACTATGAAGACGAAATGATTCTATTGATTGAATATTTTGATCCGATAATTATTTGTTTCATCTATTTTATTTGAGCTTAAATTTGAGGTTATGTAAAAGTTGGTAAAAATTGACCTCCCTTATTTTTTTTTAATAAATACACAATAATGCTGTTTATAAATAAAAATAGCATAATGTGTCAGTTACCATTTAATTTTTCTTAATAGAAACATATTATCGCAACTGAATGTTGTAGTAGATAAAGTTAAACAAAACTTATTATAATGCATCAAATACTTTTTCCTTATCATCTATCACAATGTTAATTTCACAAGAATATTTTTTTTAATATTATATAATATAATTTAAATGTCTTTTTCTTATTACTTTACAAAAAATTTGTCAATGTGCGTTTCTAAAAATTACATTGAATTGTAATTCACATTGATTTGTGCAATTACTTGGTCTATTTATAACTTTACGAAAAATGATCAATCTTCCATGTCATTCTCTAATCACCATCACACTTACTAGTGCATAGCCCGTGCGATGCACAGGTAAACAATATGACTTGCATAGCATGTAATATTGTATTATCACACGTGCAAAATAAAATCTATATCTTAAGTTCATATTTTTTGTTTTTAATGGAATAAAATACTTCATTTTAGATCATATATATTTAATCTGTCCAAATTGATCTACATATCGGCAATTTAAATTTTGAATTTGAAGATAACCCGAATCTATGATTGCAAAATATCGTTTAATAACTAAATCAGCCGCAACTTTAGGATTTGGTATTTTGAAACCTAAAAAATAAAATCATTAATTTAGGGGAGTTATGTGATAAATCTATCTAAATCTTGTATACATCACGTTTTACAATTAAAGCAATTTAAACATAGAGATTAAGATATTTTGAATATCTGATTTAAACAAAGACCATAAAAAATTTGATTTGGTATTTTGAAATTTAAAAAAAAAATTATTAATTTAGAGGATGATATGTGATAAATCTATCTAAATCTTGTATACATCACGTTTTACAATTAAAGCAATTTAAATACGGAGATTATTCTTATTTCAAATCTCTGATTTAAACAAAAACCATAAAAAAAATTGATCGTTTCAAAATTAGACCCGTGTATTATTTTTCTTTATAAATAATTGTCAAACAAAACAATTGAATAGCCGCAACTTTATTCTTTTAATTGAAACTGCCCGATTTGATGGTTAGAAAAAATGTTTTCAAAAGAAATAAACAAATAATTTTTTTAATTTTTTTTATAATTTTACCCTTAAATTAGCCGTAATTTTGTTTAAATAAAATTTGCTAATCAAAACATACGTGTTAGCCGATTTTATAGAAAAAAAAGGTTTCCGATATTTTAAAAATACAAAAGCATATTTTTATGGTTAGAAAAAATAACACATAAATTTTTGTATTACTAAATTAGTCGTAATTTTTTTATTAAAAAAAACTGTAAAGCAAAGCAATTGTATTAGCAGAATATTTGGTTTTAAATTTGGAGAATATAATTGGCCGATGTTTAATTGAATTAGCAGTCGTGACGTACATTTTTATTCAAATTTAAAAATAGCTTAATGTAACCAATAACCAAATTTAATTGATGCAGCCTGTGCATTATCGGTTTTTGATATATACATCGTGTCAAACCATCGCAAATATTCGTTAGACCAAATTTAAATCGCAGCCCACTTTTTTGAAAATAAAAAAATAACAAACTGCTCATTTTAAGGACAACATTTAATGTTGTCCCTATTTTAGTAAAAAATATATTAAAAATATACTATAAATAGTATGTAATTAATGCTCATCATTTTTAACCAAAGATTGACTTACTATTTTTGATAAATGTTAATTCTTATTATATATATATAGATTTTGCAAAAAAAATTGAAATGTTGATATTTATTTTGTTAATAAAAAAGTGCAAAATATGTTAACTTTATTTTTATTTTTTATTAAGTATTTAATTTATATTTATAAATTTTGATTTACTCATCTTTGTAACATGTTAACTTTAATTATTAATATATTATTTTATTTGTAGAATAGTAATTATGACTTTATCTTTTTGTACTTATGGAATTATGTTATCATGTAGATATTTTTATGAAAAATTATCAAGGAGTGTCATTAATGTGACAAATAATTTTTTTATAGTATATCACATTTTTTTGTAAGCTTATGAATTTAATTTTTAAAATTTAAGAAAAAAATATATTGAATTTTTTAGTTACAACAATTATACGTTGTTATTGTTTCTATAGTCACGAATCCATGTTGTCTAATTATTTGTTATTACTGTTGGTGATAATGAACACAACTCATCTACAATTAATGCTATATTAATGTTATATTTGTGGAAGTATATTTATTGGATTAATAAAAAATTTAGTCTACATTATATCAATAGATGTATTCTAAAATATTTTTTTATTAAATTATCATTCATTCACATCATTTTTAATATTAAGCCGCGCAACGCGGGTAGCGTACTAATAAATAATAACAATAATAACAATAATGCTAATAACGAACAAATAATAAACAGAATGTACAGTTGCACGCGAGCTCCATAGAATTAAGACCAAAAAATTCGGGATTCTCAGTTAACCACTCTCTCTCTCTATTTATACTCTGCATTGCGGCTAGGGTTTTATTTCCCACTCGAGCTACTGATAGTACTCTCTGCTCTCACTACTTCCCTTTTTTAATCATTTTAGATCTGCTGACTATTCACTACAGCTATGGTCACAATGCTTGAATAGGGTTTTTACGCGCGAGTTATCTGATTGCGAGGGGGTTTGTTGCTGGTGCACCTTTGTGGGGGAGAAATGGCGACTGCTAATCCGTTCGATTTGCTCGGTGATGATGATGCGGAGGAGCCGACGCTGCTGATTTCAGCTCAGCAGCTGAAGGCCGAGCCGAAGAAATCAGCGGCTCCTTCGTCTAAAGTGGCGTCTCGGGGAGCTAAGGCCGCTCAGGCTAAGCTCCCCACCAAGCCTCCTCCCCCGATCCAGGCTGGTAACTTTCATCTCTTAGCGGAGACTTGTTGANTGGCATTTATTTATACTGTTCACTTTTTATTCTTATTGCTGTACTCGTGAGAGATGTATCATGTATGTATGTTGTTTTTTGTTAATATCTCTGTTTCTTATACGTGACGAGGGACTCTATTTTCTAATAGTTGAAATTGATGGGGTAATTTATGTGTGCACTTCATTTTGATGCGTGAGCTTAATTGCGATTGATCTGGTGTGTTAGCTTAATTGGCTCGTATAATATGCTAAATATGGATTGTTTAACTATTATGTGTTGTTTATCCATTTTATGGCTTCGAATTTTCATTGTTCAATATGAATGTTCATTTATCTGGGATTTGAGGCCTGCCGAAAACTTCGGTAGTGGTTCTCAATTTTTATGGTTTGTAGAACCATAGTTATAGAAAGAAAATAGAAGAAGTCAATTGATGCCCTGGATATAAATTCCAGTGATTAGTTACTTTTATTTTTCATGAATTGGCTTATTTAGGAGAGACTAAGAGAGTAAATGGAATTTGAATGTGTGCCTGTGGATTCTAAAGACCAATGCTGGTGAGTAGTTCTCTCAAGTGATTTCATATATATGTGTGGCATATAAATCTTTGGTTTCTTAATTCTGATTTCACAATGATTATTGTAACATTTTTTATCTCTCCATTATTTTTTATCATGGAATATCTATCATATTACATTTTTCCATTTGGTTGTTTTAACATGTTTACTTTTTCCAAATGCTTTATAGTGTAACATATATTAAGTTTAAACCATATTTGCATGTGTTATCCAGCACATTTTTTACACTCTTCTTTGCCATTTTATTCTGAGTAGTCAAAGAGGCTAAGTCTGAATCTGCACGAGGCAGTCGTGGTGGAGGGCGTGGTTTTGGCCGGGGCCGTGGCGGTGGCGATGGGTCCTACAGGGACTCGAGCTACAAGGAAAATTCATATGGAAACAGGGAATTTTCTTCTGCTCAAGTTGCACCCGAGGCTGATGGTGGAAGACCTTATGAAAGACGTGGTGGATATGGTGGACATCGCGAGCCTTTCCTTGGTGGTCGCAATAGGCAATTTGACCGACATAGTGGCACTGGCCAAGGGTCTCTCTTCTCTCTCTCTCTCACACACACACACACGCACACACAGGAAAACTCACACATGCTAGTTACGTCTGTGTGACAATCCCTATCCCCTCTCTCAGTGATCCTATTTGGTCTGTTCACTTTCTGCTTTCCCTTTTCTGTTTCAATCCTGGCGTTCCTAATTATATTTGACCCTTGAACAGAAATGACTTTAAAAGAGAAGGAGCTGGTCGAGGGAACTGGGGAAAAGAGACTGATGAATTGTCTCAGTGAGTGTTTCTTACAAGTTGACGTATGTACTGTTTTGAATGCTAGTGAAGTACTTATTTGTTTTCGGTTAATCTACCTTTTTTCTCCAATAGAGTGGCTGAGGATGGTTCTGAAGCTGAGAAAAGTCTGATTTCTGAGAATCCGTCTGGGAAGGAGAATGCTGTAGCTGATGGAGATCAGGAAGTTGCCAGAAATGAGGTTGTAGAGGAGAAACCAGAGGATAAGGTGAAGATATGTTGATTTTCTTGATTTGAAAGTATTCTGATCAAAACTGTCGCGATATTGAAATTGAAGATACCTTTACGTTGTGAAAATCTAATAATTCATATTGTAATTTTGTGGTCAGTGGCCCTTATTTATTGCATCTATTGTCAGTGATTAATGATTGTAATTCCCTTGTTACTTTGTTGACACAACTTCATCTTGTAGACTGTCCTCTATATGATTTTGAAGTTCAGGGGCATTCTCACATGACTAAAATTATTAGGACGATAATTATGCATGATCTTATCTTTCTGGAAGTTTTTTCCTTTGAACCATTGATTTCTATGTGATTGTAACTATTGACACCCTGCTGCCTCAAACTGTAGGAGATGACACTTGAAGAATATGAGAAGGTTCTGGAGGAGAAAAGGAAGGCTCTTCGGGCTCTTAAAACCGAGTCTAGGAAAGTTGATACGAAAGAGTTTGAGTCAATGCAACCGCTTTCAAACAAGAAGACAAATGATGACATATTCATCAAATTGGTAAACAAACCCCTATTAGGATATCAGCTTCTACTTTACCTTCGACCTTTTCNGATTATTGTGCATTAAATAAGTAAAAACTCTGCAGGGCTCTGATAACAAGGATAAAAAGAAAGAGCTGACGGAGAGGGAAGAAAGAGCCAAAAAGGTAATTTTACTCATGTAATGATGTTGCATATTTATTTGTGCTTGTGAAAAAAATACGATCAACAGTGTAAATACTGTTTTGGCTTCTAATCACATCTCCACCGTGCAATCCAAATTAATTACAGCAGCCATTTCAGAACCCACTCGTTTCAAAATGTGGGAGCCCTTCTTTTATTGTATTTTATTATTAACTAGTGTGTACCCCGTGCGATGCACGGGAACAATATTAAATTAATAATATTAAAATAGAGCTCGAGTTTGAGTCATTCAACGGCGGAAGTTGAAACTACTATTGATCCTATTTAAAAAGAGAAAGAAACAAAAATAATTATAAATTAAAGATACTTAATAATTATAAATTAAAGATTTGGGGTCAAACAATGTAAATTATTTTGTATTAGAGAATATAAAAAAAATTTGATTACACACCATTTCAAAATTATTATTATACTTTTTTGTATGGTTAGCTTATAATATTTGTAAAAATATTAGTAATTAGACCGATGAAAATTAGCTTCTTAAAGTAGATAATGGATTTCTATTAGTAATTATGAATTGGTTTCTATTTTATTTTATTTTTTCTTTTAAAGATAATGGATTTCTAGTAGTAATTATTAATTGGTCTCTATTTTATTTTATTTTTTCAAATCTGTATAGATAAGAGATGAGATTTTTTAAACACGTGAGACGTGTGCTAAAAATATTTATAACAGAAGAGATAAGCTCGTGTAGATTTATACTAAAAATAGGAAAAAGAAAAACAAATATTTATCGTCAAACAACGGTTTTGATAAACTAAAAAACAGGAAAAAGAAAAATAAATCTTTACACAATTAATGAGCCGATTTTTTTTTTTTTTTGCCTATTTAGATTTGTCCAACAATTACTATATGTAGGATATATTTAATGATTTTGGCGGGAAAATGTTTCTAAATTTGTAAAAAGGTTATTCTTTTTATATAATGATAGATTTATTACTTTTAATGGATCAGTCTGTGAGCATTAATGAGTTCTTGAAGCCTGCTGAGGGTGAAAGGTACATCAATGCCAGTGGTCATGGCCGAGGCCGTGGCCGTGGGTTCAAAGGTGGTTATGTTGGTGAAACGAGCAATGCCAGAGGGCTTTCAATTGAGGATCCTGGCCAGTTCCCGAGCCTTGGCGGCAAATGAGACTTGGGGAATTCATAAAAATTGATTATTATGGTGCTTCAAATGCACAATCCAACCATCCATTATTATGGTGCTTCAAATGCAAAATTGATTATTACGCCCTTGCTGTGCTGTGTTTTTTTGCATTGTCTTTGGAGTTCTTAGTTTAGGTACACTTTAGTATATTTATTCACTCAGTTCTGTTTTTGAATATTAAAGGCAATTTATGTTCTGCTGACATTTTCTTCAGAGCACTTGAATTGCCATAGTCCTAACTCAGGAGCCTTCTTCAGAAGTATCCAAAAGGTTCAATCATGATTGTATTTTTTTTAGTAATCATTTCCATCATATAGATATTATGTTAAAACTACATACTCTTAAATGGGGTGTTTGTTTGTAAATTCTTTCAATTCATACTCAAAATTTATCTCAACTTTTAATCCAACATCACTATCCTCAATATTATTAATATATTTAAATAATATTAATAAATTATTCTTATATATTACATCAAATTTAATTCATTATTTATCCACTCTTATAATCATAATTAATCATTATTTTACATCAGCTCTCATATTTTTACATCAAATCAAATTTAATTATTTTATTTTAAATATTATTTTAATATGAACAAAAAATTTCACTAACATCGATTAACAAAAAAAACTCATTTTGAACGGATATATTTGTATCCAAACATGCCCTTAACTTCAAGGCCAACCTGATTATTTGTTTATTTATTTTTTTAAAGGAAAGAAAATATAAAAGATTTAGGTCATCTACAATAAAAAAGAGTTATGTATAGATAAATCTTTAATCCTAAGTTCATTTTCTCAATTAGACCCTAGAAAAAAAAAATCTCCATTCAACTCCCTAGTCAACTAATAAATGGTCCCTTCTAAGATTAAAATTATATTTTTGTCCCGATACTTATTTGCTAAAAAAAAATGTGCATGTTTTCATGCACCATAGTACCCGTTTTTTTTTCAAAAAAGTACCTTAAGTTAAAAAATTTCATGTAGTACCTGATTTCTTTCTATCTAGTACCTGAAATTATTCCAAGGGTACCACATCGCATAAAATGGTATCAGAGTCCAGGTTTTGTTAAAAACTCTTACATGAATTTATTATATGGTAAATAACTTTAGAAAGGAAAAAAATTTAAGAATGGGTAGTGAAAATTGTCCAAAGTGTACATTATAATAGATATCTTCAAATTTTAAAGATGTGCAAACAAGAACAAATGGTTGTCCACTGGGATGACCGTTATGTTGAGTAATTTATGGCAGGAGTAGATAGAATTATTGCCAGACTCTGTCAAAAATAAACTTGATGAAAAAAATTTGATGAAGAAATTGGATAATTTACACCAGCTACTCCTAGAGGAAAGGTAAATAGAATCATATTCCGAAAAGCACTACTCAAAGCAAAGAAGATCATTGGAATATGTTTGTTCCAAATAAATCAGAAGTTATCTACAATCTCATCAGGCCAACGAACAAACTGATTTATTAAATTATCAAGAAAGAGTAATATGAATCATATTGAAGTTTGAGTCATAATAATTTATTAGGCTGGAAAGAAGTTATTCCAAACTCTTCTAAGTACTCCACAGATATTCGTGAAGTACAAAAAACAGTGCGAAGTTATGGAGAACTCCAACAGATGGTTCCTGGGAAGATCCATTAGATACAAACAAAGGTGGAAAAAATCATGAAGAACCAAAAGATGACCCTGGACCCTTATAAGTATCCAAAAACAAATTAAAGCCTTGGAAGAGAAACCCAGTATTTTCGGAGGAAGAAGAAAAGTAATTTTTGGAACAATACACGTTTTACAACAAAAGGGTAAACCAACCGAAGTTCGAAGGCCGATGACGGAGGACGAAAAGATGAGAGTCATTTTAAAAGGAAAATCCACTAATAAATAATGGAAAAAGTCAATTTGGAAGATATACATGACCTTGCATAATCTTTTGCAGGATTGGGTCTAGTAGATTTAAAAATAAATACGAGAGATGGTTCAACACTAATAACTAGAACCAACCTCCCCAGGAGGAGAAAGCTCAGGTTGTCACCAACCTGAGGAACATACACCCCCATCAAGGAAATTTTCATGTAAGAGGAGAAAGCGGACATCCGACTGGTACTCGAATGCATTTCCGAAAGCCAAACTTTCAAAATACTCCTTATGGGAAATCACAACTAGATCTAATTCATCCTAATGGGTTAATGTTGGACCTGGATACTGTAGATTTTAAAATTGAGATGTTCTTATCGATGATTGGGCCTCTGCCATCAGAATTCTCGGAGGAACGTTGGATCTCAATAACAAAGGGTTCATTTCACTTCTCGAAATGAGCCTAGAAGGTTCAGTTAAAATTTTTCATGGGATATGGCTTCTCCAGACATAAAAGGAGATGTTATAGCTAGAGAATCATTAAAAAGAATAGTCGATAATTTTTCTAAAGTGCTCACAATATTACTTATCGGCATGAGATACTTTGAAGGAATAGAAGAAGAAAAACAAAGGAGATACAAGAAAGCACTATATTTCTTGGAGTTACATGACATTTTTCATGTCGATGAATATATAAAGTTATTTATGGAGTACCGATGGAAGTCCAAGGTAGCGGACTCTGAAGCTTCACAACTATTCTTTGTAAACATATATACCCAGCTCATTGAGAAAAATGTTAATCATATAATATAAAATGGACAAAGTGGATACAGTGGCCAGAAGAATGTCATTCCTTAAGGCAAAACTTTCCTATTGGTGCCATCAAGCTGCACTACACAAAAATTACAAAAGACTTAGAGGGATTGTTGTGAGTATTTTTACCGGAGTAGAAGCGAAAGATTTGTTCCACGGGTCGTATCGCAAGGAAGATTAGTCGGATATAACTGTACGATTATTCAATCACAAAAAAGAGAAGACGAATTCCTAAACACTCTAATTCAATAATTTTGAGTTTCAATTATCAACTAATGACTTTAAACTAAATAAAATGAAATTCAATAGCAAACGAATTCACTCAATGATTAAAGAGCTAGGGAATCGGGGATAATTGCTTTCGGTTCTAACATAATTATCAGGCAATCAATTGCCCGGTTAAAGGACTTGAATCATTTTTCGTCCAGAGGTTCACTCTCAATAACTCTTCGTAACAAGAGAGTGAATGTAGACCATCAACTATCAATTCCAACAACACATAGACAATACTATGACGAACAAGTCTATTCTAAATGAGCCTAAATCGACTAACGTCTCCCCTCTCGGTTCTACACGTTGATTAACTAGGTTAAAATAGTGATCAATCAACTAACCCTATAATTCGCACAACTCGCATAGATATGAACAATCAAAAGCATGCAATCATAATCGAACCTAATCAATCATCCCCTATCCCTAGCGAATGGATTTACCTACTCATAACGAATTCAACATCACAATTCATATAAACCCAAGCCATCATCATCGATAAACAATTGAGAAAAAAAACATACGATTAATATAAAATTCCCAATGTCAAATCCAAGTGCATCCAAATCTAAAGCGAGAAAAAGGAGTTTTTCAATCTCCAAAAGTGAAAAAGCAATGAAAGGATTGTGTTTGCTAGAGAGATAAAACATAAAAACTAAGTCAGGAATGGAATAGAATGTGCTAGGTCCCAAAAATAGCTTAAAATTCTGCATCTCGATTTTCACGTCGCCAGGTCGCGAGTCGCGACTTCCTCGCGAGTAGCGCGTCGTCAAATTCTTCAAATTCTGGGGGTAGTCGCGACATCATCTCGCGATTCGCGACTCAAACTCGCGGACTGCACCTTTAGACTCTGAAAATCTCGCGAGTCGCGACTCTGTCGCGAGTCGACTCGCTAGTCGCAAAAAATCCTGGGAGCGTTTTCAGTCCTCTTCATCGTCTTCTAGGCTCGGCAACGGGAATTCTCGATATCACGATGTCGGCTCAAATAGTCCCAACCTCGACCGGCACAACCTACCTCCTGAAAACACAAAAACAAGGAAACACACGACAAAAAGACGCACAAATAGAAACAAAAGAGAAAAACACAAAACCAACGAAATGGACCAAATATGCTACGAAAATCCTACAAATGGGGAAGAACAAAAATAAAATAAACATGAATTAAAGACAAAAAAATGGGACAAACAGGAATCAACAAAACAATTTCTCTGTGCTGTGAAGAAAATCATGAGATTCCAACAATTATTGGAGGTCAATCACAGTGAAATAAAAGAAGAAAGCATACCAGCAATGCTTATTCCCGTGCATATAAGAAGAATAGGTCCTCATGGAGACCTAGAAGATACTGGTCGAAACAAACGGCTCGGAGTTACAAATATGGACAAATACCAAGTCGTAGCAGAGCCTCATCTTCAGGTTTTAATCAAAATAGAACAGGTAGAGCTCCAATTCAAAGAACTTTCAGAAGGACTCATACTCGAGCTAATGAAAGTTTTAATGATTGTAATTGTTGGACATGCAGAGAAAAAGTGCATATATCAATTGATTGCCCTTATAATCAAAGACGAGGAATAAGATAGTTAGAGGCTACCCCAGAATTTGAAGATGCTCAAGATTTGGTACAAGTACACCAATTTGAGGACATTCTCTCAGAAGAACGTATTTATGAGGAAGAAGAAGTCTACTCTGAAGATGAAAGTGAATCCAGTTCAGAGTCATAATAAATAAGATTTTCTTCAACAAGTAGTAAGAGAAGACATGTCGGTATTTCTATCCCATACGACAATGTCTCACAAACCCCTTATAAAATCATGAAGGAAGATCCAAAGCTCCAAATGTATGATAGATTTACAATGGGGGCAACAGAAAAGGCTATGGATAGGATTTGCTTAAGAAGCAGAAATCACCATCTTATCCATCGAGTTTCAACTGGAGAATTTGCTGTTCAAATGGAATACATGGGGAATCAAATTGAAATGAAGTTGATTCTGGTATGTAAAAGCCTCCGACTGACTAGAAATTGGTCTGCTCACGTGCTTCCTCATCGGTTGAATGCCTTAAACCTACAAAAACTCTCCCACCGGAGGCATTTTCCGGTGAAGAGCCTCCGATTCTTAAATGACTAAGTGTAGAAGATGAAATCTAGAGAATATAGAGTAATATGAACATAATGAGGTAAAATCGCACATCTCACCCCTATTTATAGTGGTGAGGTATATGCTTCTAGGAGGGTGTCCGGATATGATGAGTTGGTTGCCCCAACTACCCGAGCTGCCCGACAGTACAACCTTTCTGTCAGAATATGTATGAGACGATTAGGAGACATGGACCAATGAAGTGGTGCCACATGGTTTTATCCATGTGGGGGCATAATTCTCCTAAGATTTCTTCTTATCTTATAATCCTTTGTATAAGACTGCTCAATGGTACGCTAAGCTCTAGGTCGATTGAGGTAAAACGCTGACTGCTCTAAGTCTGAGTTCTGGTCGATCGGACGACCACTTACAACTATAGGTCGAGTTTCGACCAAGCCATCTAAGGGCCCTAGTTCGACCTGTCCTCACTGTATCGAACCTCTTAATTCTGTGATACTCGACCACGACCACTCTTTTCCAATTCTGCTCGACCAGGCAGTTCGCTCGGCCTACTCGACCGGTTTACTCCCGTAGGTATGGTATCCCATATCAGATTCCTTACCGAGAAATTCAAGAGATCAAGAGTAATCTAAAGAAAGAGGTGGCTAATACACTTTCATGGATCCACATTGGGGCCATTAGAGTTATCATTAAGTCAACCTTTAAAGAAAGGATAGATTCGCCTCTCAATTTGGCGATCTTTGATAAAAGAATTTCTGACCTTAAGACTCATGTCTTGGAGGAGTCAGAAAATTTGTATGCAAGAAAACTGGCATTCAATGTTTTTCCAAAGTACAACTTGGGAGATCGAGATTTCAACAAAGTTTTTACCCTTCACCAAGATTTTAAAAGAACATAGTTAATGAATGAGGGGAGTAGGTCTTACTCCATTACATACAGATCTCTTATGTTCTCTCAAACTCTCATCATTCTGAAGTATTTTTTAGAAAGAAAATCATAGGAGTCCCTAGAATTTTTGAAGACTTCGTAAAATCTGTATTACCGGATATTATTTATAATCCAACAATTACAAAATCGATATGAGAATCCAAGATAGACCAGTTTTTAATCTGTCTAAGAGTCTTATGATCGAGCCAAAAAGAATGTCTTTCCAGCAAGATAGAATGCTTAGCACTAATCGTTTGGAGGAACAAAGGACAAGTATAAATAAAAGGACTCCAGAGGTTTTTAAAGCAAATGGAGAAATAAGATGTCCTGAAGGATGGAGGTCAGTAGAAATAATGTTCGATATCACGCAAAAGGATAATCTATTTCCTTGTGATGCACTATATTACCTCCAACAACCGATAGTGGGACAATATGAAAGAATCCTAAAGATCATAGAAACAGAAACCACGATCACATGAGGAGAAAGTAAGATCCCAGAACAGCTTGTTCTAAGACCGAAGTTCCTTGAAACCCACAAACCTTGGGAAAGGTTACAAGATAGAATGGAATTCACTGTGAATGGAAGAAGGTATAGGATTTAGATGACAAGTAGTCATTTATCTGTATACATTTCGATCACAGTGCTATATGATTGATGGGTCTACTTCTGGATCTGGAGTAAACCGGTGGTTGTGAGCTCATATCTGCTTGAACCGTCTTTAAACCATTGTTAGACCGCAAGAATACCTGCAAAAAACTCAACGCCGGAGGTGTTTCCGGCGTAGAGCCTCCGACGCTCAAGTCAGTATGAGAGTGATGGAGAGGGGCTGCGCAGCAGCTATGGGGGAGAGTGAGAGTGAATGAGAGTTAGGGTTACCTCACCTCCTTTATATAGGAGTGAATATTTACCTGAAGTACCCAGAATGCCCAAGTCGGTGGACCTAGAAGGTCCAAAATGCCCCGGTCGATTCGTCTCCCCTTATTGCTGAGTCATCACAAGATTCCTTCTTACCCTTTGTGGTATGTGGAACTTCAAGTATGTTCCAAGTGTGGTGAATCGTCATCGTATCTTTATTACTCGAGGAATGCGAGGTCGACCTCGAGAGCTAGGAGGTCGACTCGTGGATATGTCGATTCGGAGGCTATGCTCGGCTAATCCCCTATGGTGAAGTCATCTTTGAAGAGTCGTCTTAGTTCAGTCGACTGATGGACGTCGACTTTAGGATATCGGGCTGCTCGGGAGTTGTACTCTTGCTGTTACTCTTTTGTTGATGCCAATTAGTGAAGGTCGATAGATTAAAGTCGACTTGAAGGAGTCGACTAGACCAATTCCTGCTTCTTCTTGATTGCTCTTAGTAGAATCGAACTTAGGGAAGTCGATTTGAGCAGGTCGACGGGGTCATGTCGACATGCGAGTAGTTCGAGTAGTTTGTTGGTTGAGTAAGGAGCTCCCGGACCGGGTTATCCTTTTATGGCTATATCATCTAGTCCCCCCCAAAAATTACTCTAAGCAGTCGACTGCTTAAGAGTAAATTTGGTGAGATATGATTGTGTCGCTTTCCAACCGTTCTCGCTCGTATTGTCCTTTTTTGCAACTCGTCTCGTCAATCAATTAGGACGCACCTCAAACTCATGATTGCCTTTTCGGATAAGTCTGACACTCTGACAGACCTATTTCAAGTTTCAAATTTTTGAAAACCCTAAAGTAACGCGCGTCATCTCCTTCGCCGCCTCTTCGAACTCCGCGCCTCATCCGGATCGTTGGTTCTCTTGGTGATCCGACGGTTCACGCCCATCCTCGTCCTATATAAATATACCTTTATCTCTTGGGAAACCACTTTACGCATTCCCGAACTTTCTTGCTCTCTCAAACTTCCTCAAGCATCTCCGGCGGTTTCTGCTCTTCGGCTTCACCGGCACTCCTCTCTCCCGGCGACTTCAGGCTTACGTGCAGTTCAAATTAACCACGCCACCATGTGTAAGCTCTCTATCTCTCCTTAACCTTCAATTCTTTGTTGATTTTTCCTTCCCTGATTTTCTCTGGATTCCCAGAATTTTTGAAGTTCATGCGTGTTCTTCATATTTTTCTTGAGTTCCTTATGGGTTTCACACTTAGATCTCTTTACGCATATATTCCGTTAGAATTTATTGTTTTTATCAGTAGTCGATTGCCAATGTACAATCGACTTTCGCCTGTTACTAAGTCGGCTCTTGTCGACTTAGTGACCTTCTTTCTTCAGTTTTTCTCTTCTCGAATCGACTAAGGTCGATTTACTGGTTTATTTAAGTCGAAACACCGATAACGATTGCCCCTTCTGTCCTTTCTCCCTCTGTCGATTATTGCGAATCGCTCTGATTCGACCTTGTGGATTCTTGTGATTTTACTAACTTCAACCTTCCCCCCCTTTTCTTTTTCTTTCCTTAGCTTCCGACTCGTCTTCTCTCTCTGGCTCCCTTGGTCAGCAAATCAACGATTACATTCACCATGTCGACGAGGGTTCCAGTTCCGACTCCGTCGAGGTTACCGGCTATAAGATGATTTCACTGCCTTCTAATCCTTCCTCTTCTCACGTTTTTGCTTCCTCCGTCGACTGGGCACAGTATGATCAAGCGCTTGTAGAGGGCGGCTTAGTCGACGTCGTGAAGAGCCCTTCTCGAGGGAATTCTCCTCATCTCGATCTTATCCCTCGAGGTATTCCTCTTAGGTTATTAGACATCCCTGTTTATAGAACGAGCCCTGTATCTGTACCAATAATTGCTCCTCTTCTTGATTCTCAAAACACTGTAACAATAGCTTGTCCTTTAGCTCGGTTAGCGGTCTTAAATCCTTTTTGTTATGCCTCTGCAGCCGAGGTCGAGGGCTTCAGGAAATTTAGCGGGCTCCCTTCTGACTGGGAGTTGGTCGCCCCCGGTCCTAACGACGATTTTGCTCATCCCCCTCCCGGCTGCCATACCTTTTTTGTAGATCAAGTCGTCTTCGGCCTCCGCTTTCCCATTCAAGACGAGTTGATCCTAATAAGCAATCTGTACAATATACCCATAAATCAATTTTCTCCCAACGCCATTCGTATCATGATAGCTTTTATAGTCGTCTCCCGCATAATACTCAAATCCTTCTCGCCCGAGTTTTTCTTCTATTGTTACGGTTATCGTCTTTCCAAAGGCGCTTATTGTCTGGGTCGTCGCGCCGGCGTCACTTTCCTCGACGACCTTTCGTCGAACGTGACTGAGTGGAAGTCGAAATACGTATTCATTCGACCTGCTCCCGGCATGTATCCTTATGTGAATAAATGGATCACCTCGAAGGTTAAACAAAATAAACGGCCCCATTCCAACGAGTTCGCTATCCTATTGGCGGAGCTCAATAAACATACGTACAGCGCTCGTCAATTAATAAAGGACCGTGAATTGGTCAATCACGCCCGAATCGTCCTTTACGAGGACCTTCCTCGTCTTGATGACCCTCGTAAGCTATTATTGTTCCTTCTTGTGCAACTGTTTATAAGTTTTTATCCTTCGTACGACGACTGTCAAGTGTTCTTCACTCGCTAATTTCCCTTCTATTTATTTATTTATTTATTTATTTATTTATTTTTTGCAGTTAAAGCGCTCAAACGCTTCGAACTCAAGAAGGGCCAGCCGTCTGGCCAGCCGGCTGGTGGTTCTGTTCCTCCCACTCGCCCCTCGCGTCCAGTTGGTGCGGCAGTCGAGTCGACTGCTGCGAAGAAGAACCCTGGCGCCGCCCAGAGCAAACCGTCTGGCTCCAGCTCCCGCAAGAGGGCTCAAGACGACCGGGCCGCCGTCTTGATCCCGGACGACCTGAAACGTCGTAAGGTCGACAAAGGAAAAGGGAAGGCGGTCGAGAAGCCTGCCAAAGCCCCGGTCACCATCCAAGATGTGACGGTCAAGATGCCGTCTCGCCTCTGGAACCACCCCGAGCCTTATCAGGTGGCCCAGTACCTCCACTCCACCATCCCCGAAGTCGACAAGGAGCGTGTCGAGGGGAACCTTTATGAACGTTCAAATTACGCAGTCCTGTGTCTTTCTCGGGTATTCTTCTTATCTTCTAATCGACTTTTCTTCTGTATGTTTTCTTTTAAACTTGGTCCATCTAATCTTATTTTTTCCTTATGCTTTTTCGCAGTTTCTGGCCGAGGCGCTCCCGTGCTTCGAGGAGACGAGCAAGGCTCCCCTTGCTTCCACCAAGTCCCTCGAGGACGAATGTGAGGCTCAGCGCCAGGAGATCGAGGCGCTGAAGGAGGACTTGGAGGCCTCGAAGGCCCTTGTCGACAAGCTGAAGGCCGACAAGACTGTGTTCCGATATTTAAACGATAAACTCAAAGCCGACCTCGACAAGGCTCGGGACGAGGCCGTGGTCGAGAGGGAGAACGGCGTCGAGGCGGGGCGCAGGACGTTTTTGAAGTCCCCGATGGGTGCCGTCTTCCTTGAGACCTATCGTCAGGAAGTCGTCAAGGCCTTCTGCAACTCTCCCGCCTTCCTCGAGAAGCTCTGCCCCGCCACCCTCCAATACTTCGAGCATACTTTTTCCGCATGGGAGGCGGTGGTGTCGGGCTCTGAGTTCGAGGGGAAGCTCGACCGCGAGGCGGTTAAGGAGATGCTCCCCTTCCCCGAGGGCTATTCAGGCGACGACTCTCTCCCCGACGATTACCCATGGTGGTCGGGACTCGAGGCTTGGGCCATCCGCAAGGCTGGCTTGAGCACGCAACTCGAGGTTCCTCCCACCCCCTTGTCCGGTCCGACCGAACTAGTCGGGGCAAGTGGGGCTAGTCGGGAAGCGGCGGTCGAGGTCGAGGATGAACCACAGGGTACCGAGCCGCTTGTCGACAGAGATGCTGACGGGTAGAACCCCGAGAAGTCTGCCACTGTGATGATGGAAGGTGGGGACGACACTGCCGAGAAGTCAGACGCCGACTCTTGAATGTGTTTGTCCGATTTGGGGCTGTGCCGCTGTTTTTGTTTCGTTGTCTTCTTCTCTTTTTTTTTCTTGTCGTTCTCGACCTATTTTCAAGTATTGTAAAGGTCGAGACGACTGTTGGTGTAATGAATTTCTGAATTAATATAATCTTCTTCTTTTCATTCGTTGCTTGTGTTAATTGTGTTTCAAATTATTTTGCTGCTGTTTCCTGTGTATCTTCTCCCCAACCCTTTTTGCGAGCTGGTCGAAGTCGACCAAGGATTTGAACAGCTTCGTAGCTGTGAAACGTAAGTTTTTCCACTCGTCTCCTCCCAACCCTTCTTGCGAGCTGGTCGAAGTCGAGCAACGATTTGAACAGCTTCGTAGCTGTGAAACGTAAGTTTTTCAACTCGTCTACTCCCAACCCTTCTTGCGAGCTGGTCGAAGTCGAGCAACGATTTGAACAGCTTCGTAGCTGTGAAACTCAAGTTTTTCAACTCGTCTCCTCCCAACCCTTCTTGCGAGCTGGTCGAAGTCGAGCAACGACTTGAACAGCTTCGTAATACTTTGCAGCCTATATCGATTTAGGAGCAGGAATTTGCACAACAAAACAAAGAGTATTTCCAGAAGAAATGGGGGAAGACCTAACCCCTGTAGCAGGAATAGATTTGT